ATATATATATGAACGTAAGGCTCCATCATCTCTGCAACCCCAAGAAAGAAAAAGTTCAGTGTGTGTGAAGCAGGGGGTTCTGAACGTATAGAAGAGAATGATGTCAAGAGGTTTGGGCATGAGTAGGGAACTGAGTGAAGAGGTTATATGAACACTGTAGGTCTCACCCCAGGCAATACAAGATCAGCAGTAAAGAAACACAGGAACCAGAAAGTCTAAGATCAGTGATAAAAAGGGCCAGAAGATGAGTATCTTGGGCTCGGAAGACTGTATAGTGGACAGCATAGCCACTCAAGGACACATGCAGGCAAAAGCCTCTATGATCAAGAGACTGTGTTCATAAAATTTGATGAGCACTGAATTTTAAATTACATATAATTTTCATGTGTGAAGCTATAATAACATCATTCTCCTGAATTCTTCAGCCATTAAAAAAAATAATGAAAGGTGGGCCAGGCAGTGGTGGCACATGCCTTTAATCCCAACGATCGGGAGACAGAGGCAGGCGAATCTCTTTGAGTTCAAGGCCAGCCTGGTCTACAAAGCTACACAGAGAAACCCTGTCTTTAAAAACAAAAACAAACAAACACAACAACAAAAAAGGTGAAAATGAGTTGAAGAACTGGCTCAGGGGTTAAGATCACATAGTTGTGTTCTAGAAAACCAGAGTTTGAATCACAATATCCACACCAGGCAGTTCAGAGCAGCCTGTGATTCCAACTCTGGGTGAACCAATGCCCTCTTCTGGCCTCCACAGGTACTGCACTCACATGTGCACACTTCCATACAGACACACATCTACACACACCAATAAAAATAAAGTTAATCTGTTCTAAAAATGTGAATATCACGTTGGAAAGATGGATTTGGGATGGAGGATATAGTGCCTGTAAATCACGTGTCCATATCAAACCCAAGATCAGTGGTGCACATTTGTAATTCCAGAACTGCAGGGAAAGGGAGACAGGTGGACACCAGGGCCTCTCTGGCCAGTCACTCTATTGGAAAAGGCAGCTACAGGATCAGTGAGATAAATGCCTTGGAATAAGGCTATCCAAGGAAATGAAAGAACTCTGCAATGAAAATTGCAAAACAGAGAAAGAAACTTAAGGAAACAGAAGATGAAAGGGTTGATCATACTCAAGAGTTGGAATAATTAATATTGTGAAAATGTTAATATTGCCAAATCCAACCTATAGATTCAACATAATCTTTGTCAAAATTTCAGTGTCATTCTTCAAAGAAATAGAAAAAAATCTTAACATTCCCATGGAAGAAAAGAGATTCCAGGTAGAGTAATATATAGAGTAATTCTGAGAAAAAGAGCAATGTTAGGGGGTATCACCAACCTGATTGAAATTATATTGCAAAGGCATAGTAACAACAACAATAATACCCCCACCAAAACCAAAAACATGGTATCAGCATAAAATCAGATATACACATCAATGGAATAGAGGACCTAGACAAAAACCTGTAGTTGCTGGGTTTTTTTTCTTTACTCTTTGGGGAATCCACCAGCCAGCTCCCAAATAATTATATAGAGACTTATTTTTTGTTAAGAATGTCTGGTCTTGGCTTATTTCTAGTCAGCTTTTCTTTTTTCTTTTTTAATACTTTATTCATTTTTATTTTATGTGCATTGGTGCTTTGCCTCCATGTATGGTTGTGTGAGAGATTTAGATCTTGGAATTACAGACAGTTGTTTAGGTGCTATATCGGTGCTGGGAATTGAACCTGTGTCCCCTGGAAGAGCAATCAGTGCTCTTAATTACTAAACCACCTCTCCAACCCCAGCCACGTTTTCTTGACTTAAATTATCCCATCTACCTTTTGCTCTGGGCTTTTTTCTTCTGTATTCTGTATACCTTTCTTTCTTTATTACTTCAAGGCTTGCTGTGTAGCTGGGTGGCTGGCCCCGGCTTTCCTCTCTCCTCCTTTTTCCAAATGCCTCCCTCTTCTCTTTTTCTCCTTCTATTTGTTCTCTCTGCCTGGCAGCCAGTCCATCCCTCTCCTGCCTAGCTCTTGGCCATTAGACCAATTAGGCATTTTAAATGGGCAAAGTAACACAGCCACACAGTTAAACAAATGAAACATAAAAGAACACATCTTTGCATCATTAAACAAATATTCCACAGCATAAACAAATGTAACACATCTTCAACTAATATTCCACAACACAAACTCACACAGGTATAACCATGTCACTTTTGACAGAGATACAATAAAATACATAATAAAAGATAGCATCTTTAACCAATGATGCTGGAAAAGCTGTGTGTCCTTGTGTAGAAAAATAAAGTCATATCCCTGTCTCTCAATCTATGAAAATCAATTCAAACTGTATCACCTTGATTTAAGAACTGAAACTGTTGAAAGAAAAAGTAAAGAAAGTACTACAAGTTTCAGGTAAGGAGTTTCTGAAAGGGCTCTACTTACTCTGGAAATGATGCCAACAATTAACACATGGATTTTTATGAAATTCAAAAGCTCAGTACAGTATTAGAAGCAACTCACTGAGTGGAGACAGCCTTCATAGTGAGGAAAAAACCTTCATAGACAATTCTTCAGTACATGAGACTGGATGTCTCAGCTGGTCTTGAGTATAGACTGGGATTCAGAAGAAGCAGGCTATAATACCAGTGAACAAATGGACTTGCTAGGTGAGCAACAGGCCTAGCAGACAAAGAGAGTGCTTCTGTTTTACATGTCCTTTATATAGGATGCTAGCAGAAGGTGTGGTCAAGATTAAAGGTGGTCGTCCCAACTCAAAGATCCATATTAGATCTAAATTAAAGAATTTAATTAAGAAAAAAATCCCTCATCGGTGTGCCCAGCAATCTGGGTTTCATTTAATTATACATGTAGTCAAGTTGACAACAAAGAATAGTCAACATAGGCCTCAAAAGGAATGCCTAATGACATAATCTTAGAGTCTTTGGTGGATCAAAACACTTTTTGGATCAAAACACTTTTGGGAACTAATGGATTTCTAGATACCCCTCTACATATGAAAGTGGCTAGAGACCAACTTAGGAAGAAACACAAATAAATAAATTTTGGGTCCTTTAAGTTCTGATATCAAATGTCACAACCCAGCATTTACCACCAGTAACTTCTTTTCACACTGAAAATGCTTTTAGCTCCAGGAAACAAGCTGTGGTACTTTTTGTCTGTCCTTATGATTATATCACATGTACCCATTTCCTTTGGGTCAACAATTCCCTGTCTCTTGAACTCTGCACTGTAACCAGTCCCGCAGAAACCAATCTAATCTGGTTCACATAGATACGAGAGTTCTCATAAAAATTGCTGATTGTCTATCATAGGCTTGGACTTTCACACGGAGACCTGTTCCTGAGGACCATCTGTCCTTCTGCCCTCTGAGAGCTTTTCAGAGATGGCTAGTCTGTATCCACTTGATTGGAGCACAGGTCCAGGAATTTGGGCACACAGAAATACAGGTGCTGCTGTGTGAACTGTATGCAGACCACAGTATAGCAATACTTTTAGGGAGAGGAATTGTCTTAAAGAGTAGAGGGGAGCATGTAGGGCCAGCTACAGTAAGGTTGTAAGGAGACAGTGTTGAGGTTTCTAAGCTAAGTAAGACCTAGGTACTCTGGAAGCCCTATGCTGCTTTACACACCTGTGAGGAGACCAAGACTCTGGAGGTTGGGCGAAACCAGGCTGTACACCACTGCATGGAAGAGCAATGCTAGCACAACCACAGCTTCCCCTGCATGCTGCCTTTCCCCTTGGTGCTGACCTATCGTCTCTAAGGCAGGGCTACTCTTAGGATGCCTTTGACCAAGCAACAGGTGCCAGGTCATTCCCCCAAGGTGAGTACCTTAAACAGCTGCTGTCTCAGGATCCAGTCTGATAAGACAGAGTAAGGACAGCAAGGGTTGGAGCATCAGGGGTTTTCTCATTTCTCAAGCCTTCTTTAGGTGTGAGAATGTCTCAAATGCTTAGACATTTCCCTCTCCTTTGCTTCTTCTAGTGTGAACCCACTCACATCCAGGAAAATGACTGTCACCTTTTCTGTTTCCAGGTTCACACCTCTTGCATTCTGTCCCCTTTGGGTATCTTATTTTAAGCCACCACTCTCCTGTGACAGCACTGTGCTCTCTCCCTGTCCCCTGGGAGCCAGTCATCAACCAACCCCACCCACCTCACAGTCATCAGCTCTTCCATTCATTTCTAAGTAGTTAGTGGAAGGATCAGTGGGTGTGCAACAGGTATTTCCTGCCCCTGGTTGGACATCAGAGCTGACAAAAGTGGGGTAGATTCCACATGCCCCTCCTAAGATGCACTCCCTGGCATTGTTCAGGACTAGAAGAGACTGGAGGAAAGAGCAGGTGAGGGTCACACTCAGAAACACTGTGAAAAGGTCATACATGCTGGCCTTGAGTAAATTATCTTAGTCTCATCTGACAAAAGTAATTATACCATTATTTACCATATCCTTTACCACAGCATGTTAAAAACATGGTCAGAAAAACATGACATTTGCTATGAGGACAAACCATTGTGCAAGTGTCATGGGCGGCATGTCCAGGAACAGTCTTTATTGCTTATAACTTCATTCTGGTTGCTTTGACTGATTTTTTAATGTATTACTTTATCCAAAATACAAAAATCAAATGCTTTATGTGAACAGATCAACCTGAGTGGTACCCTGACATCCATCTCCATCTTTAAAATGAAAGCCATTTCCCTCCCATCCAGCACTGTTAATAGAAAAAGGAAAATAATGGGAAAGAAATAAGATTGAAACTCTAGGGGATGGGGACATTGGACAGCCTGTCCAGCCAATTGGTGAGCACCAGATTCAGTGAGACTTTGTTTTAATAGATACTATAGAGTGACTGGGGAGATGTCTCTCAGCCACACCTGAGGAGTAGAGTTTGTATTCTCAGAACCCACGTAAGAAATGAGTGTGAATGGGTTCCTCTATAACCCTGACACTGGAGGGAGGAAGTGGCAGAGAGGCAGGCAAATCCCTGGAGCTCATCTAGATCCCTCTAGCCAATCTAACCAGTTGGAGAGTGCAGTCAACCAAGTGAGACTCTGTGTCCAAAACTCAGGCGAGAGTGATAGAAGAAGACATGAGATGTCCCCTTGCTCTTCTACAGTGATAGAGGAAGATATGAGATGTCCCTTTGCTCTCCTGCAGTGATAGAGGAAGATATGAGATATCCCTTTGCTCTCCTACAGTGATAGAGGAAGATATGAGATGTCCCTTTGCTCTCCTGCAGTGAGGACCCAAGGCTATGGATTCAGGGCAGTTCTTACCCAGGGATGGGCTCCTGAACCTGACTGAAGGCTGGGGTTCCTTCTGGATGATCAGTAGTGTGGACTTCAAATCACTGATGAGGTCAGTGCTTCATCTTTCTGCGCCAACACTAATTTCTCAGGCCACAGGAAGTATGGAAACCCCACTCAGAAGAGTGACTTCCCTCCAGCTGGCTCCTCTCTAGCCTCCAGACATGTAACACAGTCTGACTGGACAGTCATGGGCAAATTTCTTTAGAAAGTTTGCCCATTCCTCTTCCTTGGAAACTCCTGGCAGGAAACAGAATCCCTAAGTGTTCTCCTTCCCCCGAGTCCCAAGTGTGGTATTAGGTTTGTCAGCTTAAGACATCAAGAGTTAATCTCTTCCTGAAAATGCAAGAGCTATGAGAGGGGAAAACAGCTCACAAAATCTGTCTGCCAGGGTAGGAAGATGGTGTTCCCGGGGGCACAGGAAAGAGCGTTGTGTACACAAGGCAGTACTCAGAGGGCAACTGAGGAGCACAGCAAGAGGAAGAGGTTGATTTAAAAAAACACAACCATTTCTCTTTCCTGCCCCACACTCACTGCCTGCACTACTGAGATGATTTAGTGAAGAATGCGTTCTCTACAAGACTAAGAGACTAGAGAACTCCTGAGGCACGGTGTCCCAAGCCTTTAGCTTCTCCCCTCAGGGTCAGACAGACAGCATGCATCTATCTCCCCAGCTCCCACTATTCCACCTGACTAAAGTGGCTCCCCAGGGCCTGCTGGGCAAACCAGCAGGCATCATGCTTGAGCCAGGCAATGGTACCCTGGCTTCTGGGGAGAATGAGGGAGGCCAAGGCTTAGATTTTCTCATCTGGGCAGATCTCATCTCTGCAGAACCAATGGAGCTAGCTACCCAAGCAATGATCTGACTTAGGCAAAACAATGAGTACCTAGAGAATCCCCACATACCTCTCCCTCTGCATGTTGCCCTGCTGGGCTCAGGATTGCAAGGGGTGGGCCAGGTCTCCTCTCTGGAGAGCCTTTCAGGTGCCCCATTTCCTTTGCATGCTTGAGTTCAGATCATTGTTTTTATTCATTTGTTTCTATTTTCTGTGTATGAGAGATTTGCCTACATGTTTGCAAGTGCCCTTTGCACGTGTCTAGTGCTTGAGGAAGCCGGAGAAGCTGCGGGAATCTCTGGATCTGGAGCTATCAAAAGAGGTAACCCCATCCCTCGGGTGCCAAGTTCAGATAATTTAAGAAAGTCTAAGCAGCAAAGTGAGACATGAGTGACTCAGGACCCCAACTGACTTTGGACAGCACGGTGCTCCAGTGCAGTAACACATAAAAGTAGCATTTTGCAGGGAAACCAGTCTTGACTTCCACAAACCTTCTATAATACAACTTTAAAATTTGAGGTACTAATGGTATTACATTGAGTGAGGTGGGGCCTTTGAACCAATAGAAGGCATTTCTCATTTTAGCTATAGAAGTGTTTATCTAACTAACCTCTATCAATAAAAACTCTGGAGTTCGATATCTGGGTAAGAACCTCAGTGATAAGAGAAGTGGCTGTGGAGTGACCAGTGACCTCTCTCCTTTCCTTGATCCAAAAGAGCCTAGACTCTCCAAAGGTCCTCCCTACTATTTCCTGTGCCTCTCTATATGTCCTTTGTCCTCCAAAACCTCTATGGCAAATGTTGGTCAGCTAGTAGTTAGCTCTACCCTCTGATTCTAAGCAAACTTTATTGCCAGTGTCAAGGAGTGTCCTCAGAGATCAAAATAACCCACAACAAGCTTCAGAACATCTTCTAGTCTCTTATTTTTGCCAATCAATAAAGATCAACTCTTCAATAGGAATGATATAAATGGGTACATGTTCCCACCTGAGGACAACATTCAAAACTACCTCTGCAGGTATTTTATGAATACTCCATACACAAGAAGGAATAGCTGCTGAAGGTTTTGGAGCTTCCACTGGGTCTCCACAGAGAAGGTAAGTTCAGCAGCCTTAACACCTCCAGGCTAATCCTTACATGTCCAAGCCACAGACAGAAGCCCATGCAGCATTAGCCACAGCTGTCTGTACATTAGGGAAAAGGCTCCCTGAAGAAAGCACAATAGAGCTGTCTTGAGTGCGGGCCTTCACTGCTCTCGGGACACACAGGAAATGATATCTGTTTGGAGCAGATAAATGGATGCCTTTCCTATAGCATGCTTGTGTTCATAGCTGTTTTTTTCCCATTGAATTACAGGCATTTTCTGGTGGTTCCTGAAAGCCCTATCTTCTATAGGTGCAAATATCATCTGCCCCAGGTCCTGCCCATCCAGTCCTCTACAGCTCCCTTTCTTCCTCTCAGTCAGAGCCTGTGGCTGTTTGCAACTCTTTCTTAGTCAGTGTTCACTGCAGAATTCTGGTGCTGGCCTTCAAAGCAAACATATTCTGCTGCAAAGGAGCTGTCTACAGTGTGGAACCCAAACCAGGCCCCAGCAGTAACAGGGAAAAAAACAGCACAAATCTCTTCTATGAGAGCGTGGAGCTCAAAAATGTAGCTCTATGCCATGGAAACAGTCCTTGCCCCCCAACCACACAGTTGTAGGTGTGTCTTTGACAAAGTGTCCTTACAAGTTTAACATATGATTTCTAGACAAATCCCATGAGAACTGATGATTTATCCTCCTCCAGATACACACATGCCTGTGAAATAATAAACATAGAATCTGAGATATGGTGTAGTGGTTAAGAATGCTTGCTGCTATTCCAGAGGACCTGAAGACTCCTGTAAGTGCACGTTACTCACACATATATGCATCACATACACATCACAATACACACACACACACACACACACACACACACACAAACTTTCTCCTCTCTCTCTCTCAGACACGCACGGAGGTAGGAAGAGAGGGGGAGGGAGAGAGAATTTGAAAAACACTTAAATATAGTGAAGGGATTAAATAATTGGAAACTACTTTGTAACTGTTGTCCATGTTTTACAAACACTGTCCCCTGTTGGTTAGATATTGAGTTTTCTGTGTTGCTTCCCCAGTCTGGAAATGTTAAGCAATGTTTTTTGGAGTTTTGTTTAATTTTGGTTTGTGTGTGTGTGTGTGTGTGTGTGTGTGTGTGTGTGTGTGTGTGGTGTGTCAGTGTGCCCATGTGCACGTATGTGCTTCTGTGTGACCACAGGGTGGGCAGAAGGCTGCTTGAAGGCAGCTTCTACCACTCTTCAACCTTTTGCCCTTGAGACAGGGTCTCTCACTTAATTGCTCTGAGATTGGCTTCCGGGAGTTCCAGGATCTTTCAGTCTTTGCTTCCTGGTGCTGGGACACAAGTGGTCTCACCAGATTTTTATTTGGGTGTTGAAGATTCGAACTCAGGTCTCCATGCTTGCACAGCAAATGTTCTTACCCATTGAGAGCTAATGCCCATCTCCCCAGCTCAACATATTTATGACATGTTATTCTAGAGAGCCTCCTTTTCTCATCCTTTGTTTAATAACATGTTACTGTGCCTACACAAGAATCCAAACACAAACATCTATGTCAGTTTTTTTCACAATGTGCAAATGCAGAGGCAGCACAGATACCTTTCAGTAAGTGGATGGATGACTGGATAAAGTGACACATCCCAACAATGGAAACTAAAAAGAGATGAGTTGTCCAGACACACAGAGGCCCAGAGAAAACCTATACATATCCTCCAGACTTAGTCGTCTGTGTTTGGGATTGTGTGTTACGGTCTTGGCTCTGCAAACCATTTTTTGACATTGTCTATAGAGTGATAGGGTGAGATAAAACCCACAGCAATTGTCCCTTTGGAATACACCATGAACCTGGGGACACTATCTCTCTGTGTGTGATCCAGGTACCCCCATTACTCTCTGAAGAAGAAGGGATCAGTCAGAAACTCTGAAGTCTACAGGCTGTAATAAAAATGTTCTTCCAGTTCTCAGGTACCCCCAAGCACACACACCAGTGGCTCAAGTTCCCATGGCACATCTCTATAATATGGATCTGTACCTGTGTTTAGACTCCATGCATGGAATCTCACTGTCTGTCCATTCATCTTCATGTGGACACTGCTGGAAAACACTTTCCAGATGCCTTGTGCCCTATGATCCGCACTAAACTGTTCCTCCCACATATCCTAAAATATCTAAAAATTGGTGCGAATCTGATTTGGGTACTAGAAGAGATTGGCAGCTGTACTTCCAATATGGAAATTGTTTTCTCTGTGATTTTATGACTGGGTGAGGGTTCTGGCTACTACGACCCTTGGCTTAGATTTCCTTGGGAGATTCCAACAAAAGGTAAATATACAAACTGTGGTCAGAGGTGGGCTGATCATCTTGAGGTCTGAGCATACAAATACATGCCATACACTTGGAGACAACAGGGAAGAAAGAGATGTGCTAGGTATCTATCTACATCACAGCCTGTTCTCAAGTTCAATTCAAAGATTGAAAAACATCAGTCAAAAATAGAGGGAACAGTCAAAATACAGGTTTATGGATAAGCCATGGAGGAAGATTGTGGTAGTTTAAAGGCTATTAGTCCCCAAATTTCATAGCGAGTGTTCTTAGGAGGAGTGGCTTTGCTGGAGTGGGTATGGCCTTGTTAGAAGAAGTGTGTCACTGTGGAGGTGGACTTTAAGGTTTTCTATGCTCAGGATCCCACCCAGTATCAGTGGACTTCCGGTTGCAGGAAAGATACAGGGCTCTCAGCAACTCCTCCAGCACCATGTCTGCCTGCATGCTGCCATGTTCCCTGCCATGATGGTAATGGTCTGAACCTCTGAACCTGTAAGGAAGTCACCCCAATAAACGTTTTCATTGATAAGATTTGCCATGGTCATGGTGTCTCTTCACAGCAATTGAAACGCTAGGACACAATGAAACCTTATATTTATTGAAGACTATATACATAATGGTAGGGCAGGAAATAGTTGACAAAGAATATTGTAAGATGACACTGTGTTAGGTACATAAGATAAAGGCAGAGATCTATAGAAATCAGGGTATAAGTCTTGCTTCTTCTAGGTAGGCTCTGGTGACACTATGAAAACATAAGAATCTACGTCTAGTTTCCACCAGAGTGTGGATTTCAGTGTTTTCTACTAGACATCCACATTAAAATTGTGTCTGTACTCCAGGGTCATCACATTGATAAGTTACTTGATGTTTTTAATCATATCAAATTGAAGGTCAACGTCAACGGAGTGGCCAAGTTTAGCTGAAGGTCAACAGAGTTGCTAGGTAACTCAGAATATGAGGGTTTGGATCAGAGTCTTGAAGCTTATGCTGGTCCTTGTGGTGGTTCCAGTTTCCTCTGAATTGTTGGTGTTAACACACATGAGACCATCTTGTCCTGGATCTCTTGAAGACCAGGTAGCAGTTGGGCACACAATGATTCCTGGGTGCGGCCCACACACCCATCATGCCAGTGTCTGCCCAGATTGTTTCTCTCCTGTGGCCCAGATATCCTGACAGCCATAGCTTCTGCTCCTGGGTCCTCCAAGATAACAAATCTCCTGGGTGTGATGAAGAGAGAATGAGGACTACAACTGTCAAAGTTAAACTTGACTCAGGCTTCTTGGTGTTAAGTTAGCCCCCAGCCCACACTGATTTTGATTGTCCTTCAGTGATCAGCTTCAGAACCCTTGTTTAGGAATCCAAGATTTTTGATGGATGGAATGGTGGGGGTCGGGTTTCAGGTGAATCACAATAAGACCCTGTGCTATCTAATTCTTCTTGATATTAAGGAGAGTGGTTCCTTGTTCCATTAAAGGTCATTGCATAGTCCTTGCTCCCTTGCTGTGAGTGTATCACTGGGTCCTATGGAGAGAGGGTACGGCCCACATACCCTAACATTTAAGCTAGACCCAGGTAGTAGAAGGTACTCAGAGTATGCCATTCTTCAGACACCTCACTCATGGTGTTAATGTGTGTTCAACCTTCTTGGAGCAGTAGGTGTGGCCTAGGTCAGACTTCAAGTCAGCTTTTTATCCTTGCTCTCTGAAAGTCCTCATACAGGAAGACCTGGGCACAGAGGATTTGCTGGGTGCGGCCCACACACCCTTGATCCCAAGCTGTGTTATTGTTATTTGATGTTTATGTGAGGCTCAGATTACTAGAGAGCAATGAGGTCTTAATCCATCTGCTGTGAGATTGTTTGTTGGATGTGTTGTAATAGCAGGTACATCTCACAAACTACAGTGGTACCACAAAGAAGAATCTAGATTAGCATTGATGACAGTTCATGGTCTATGATGTGATGTCAATCATCAGTGCAAGAATGGTTGTGGTTGAGTCCAAATTTCTAAGTGCAATAGCATGGATTGGGTCACAAATGAGGCTATTTGTCCAACAAAATAAATTGACGTGAGAAAATGCCTGGCCTCAGACCAGGTTTTCGTCATGGGTATGTCCATTTCCTTTGGTCATTAAGGTGAGGTTTGATCTGGGTCACAAATGAAGCTATGGTTTGTCCAAAAATATTTGAAGTGAGATAATGCCTGACCTCAGACCAGGTCGGCGTCATAGATATGTCCTTTTCCTTAGGTCATTAAGGTGATATATTGTCCCTTTAAAGACTCCCTCCTTTGTGGTGGTATCTTGTCCTGGGTTGACTAGAGGGTGTGGTCCACACACCATTTAATATTAGTCCAGTCCACTAAGGGTTCAAGGAGGTGCTGGGTTTCCTTTCAGGTCTGCTTATGGCCTTGAACCTGTATCAATAATCAAGTCATTATTAAGTTCCCCTTCTTGGAGGGGATAATGCATCCAGATTTCAGTTAATCAGATCAAGTTCTGGGTTTGCCCAAGATTCTTGGTGAGCAGTCTATGGCTAGAGTATGAGAAATTTTCTTAAAAAAAAGTCAGTCAAGATAAGGTGCAGGGTGCATTGTAACACCCTTTTTGATAAGGTGCATCCATGTTACTGGATTATTTAGGTGAGTCCTTGGCACTTTATGGCAATGTTGTCATCCTTTTTAGCGTGTTGAAGATGTTGGGTTGAATGAAGTGTGCGTGTGAGAGCCACACATCTGGTACTCAGAATGTCACTTATATCAATCATTATAGGAAGCATAGAGGGTTAGTCCAAGGCTATACGTGACAAGTGTGCACTGATGTCTTGGTTAGGTGTAAAATAAGAACTGAAATTAAGACCTTCTTCAGAGAACCTCATGGTACAAAGTACAACCACGGTGTTGTTTAACTTTAGATTGGCAGTGGGTTCAGGCTTCTTTGGGAGGGGATTAATCTGTGCTGATATTACATTAGTTTTTGTGCCAAAATTTCGTCATTGTTAGGATCAGGATTGTCCTAGGCACACTCATTTTCTTGGTCTGGCCCAGGCCACCTTCTCTTGATTGGCCAAGGACAAATTCTCCGGATAATTGTGCTCAGGCTCCTTTAGGGTTAGGGGTTAGCCCAGGCCCACATCTCTTCTTGCTTTGGGCCTGGGCTATTTCAGGGTCAGGATTGGCCTTGGCACACTCATTTTCTTGGTCTGGCCCAGAGCACTTTCTCTTGATTGGCCAAGGACAAATTATCCGGATAATTGTGCTCAGGCTCCTTTAGGGTTAGGGGTTAGCCCAAGCCCACATCTCTTCTTGCTTTGGGCCTGGGCCATTTCAGGGTCAGGATTGGCCTGGGCACACTCATTTTCTTGGTCTGGCCAAGGCCTCTTCTTTTGACTGGCCCAGGCCAAATTCTCTGGATAATTGTGCTCAGGCTCCTTTAGGGTCAGGGGTTAGCCCAGGCCCACATCTCTTCTTGCTTTGGGCCTGGGCCATTTCAGCGTCAGGATTGGCCTGGGCACACTCATTTGCTTGGTCTGGCCCAGGCCTCTTCTTTTGACTGGCCCAGGCATAATTCTCGGATAATTGTGCTCAGGCTTCCTTAGAGTCAGGGGTTAGCCCAGGCCCACATCTCTTCTTGCTTTGGGCCCGGGCTTTTTCACTGTCAGGATTGGCCTGGGCACACTCATTTGCTTGGTCTGGCCCAGGCCTCTTTTTTTGACTGGCCCAGGCATAATTCTCTGGATAATTGTGCTCAGGCTTCTTTAGGGTCAGGGGTTAGCCCAGGCCCACGTCTCTTCTTGCTTTGGGCCTGGGCCATTTCAGCGTCAGGATTGGCCTGGGCACACTCATTTGCTTGGTCTGGCCCAGGCCTCTTCTCTTGACTGGCCCAGGCCAAATTCTCTGGATAATTGTGCCCAGGCTCCTTTAGGGTCAGGGGTTAGCCCAGGCCCACCTATCTTCTTGCTTTGGGCCGGGGGTATTTCAGGGTAAGGATTGGCCTGGGCACACTCATTTGCTTGGTCTGGCCCAGGCCTCTTCTTTTGACTGGCCCAGGCCAAATTCTCTGGATAATTGTGCTCAGGCTTCTTAAGGGTCAGGGGTTAGCCCAGGCCCACGTCTCTTCTTGCTTTGGGCCCGGGTTTTTTCAGGTCAGGATTGGCCTGGGCACACTCATTTTCTTGGTCTGGCCCAGGCCTCTTCTTTTGACTGGCCCAGGCCAAATTCTCTGGATAATTGTGCTCAGGCTTCTTAAGGGTCAGGGGTTAGCCCAGGCCCACATCTCTTCTTGCTTTGGGCCAGGGCTATTTCAGGGTCAGGATTGGCCTGGGCACACTCATTTTCTTGGTCTGGCCCAGGCCTCTTCTTTTGACTGGCCCAGGCATAATTCTCGGATAATTGTGCTCAGGCTTCCTTAGAGTCAGGGGTTAGCCCAGGCCCACATCTCTTCTTGCTTTGGGCCCGGGCTTTTTCACTGTCAGGATTGGCCTGGGCACACTCATTTTCTTGGTCCTGCCCAGGCCTCTTGTTTTGACTGGCCCAGGCATAATTCTCTGGATAATTGTGCTCAGGCTTCTTTAGGGTCAGGGGTTAGCCCAGGCCCATGTCTCTTCTTGCTTTGGGCCCGGGCTATTTCAGGGTCAGGATTGGCCTGGGCACACTCATTTTCTTGGTCTGGCCCAGGCCTCTTTTTTTGACTGGCCCAGGCCAAATTCTCTGGATAATTGGGCCCAGGCTTCTTTAGGGTCAGGGATTGGCCCAGGCCCACATCTCTTCATGCTTTGGGCCCGGGCCTTTGCAGGGTAAGGATTGGCCTGGGCACACTCATTTTCTTGGTCTGGCCCAGGCCTCTTTCATTTTATTGGCCCAGGACGAATTCTCTGGATAATTGGGCCCAGGCTTCTTTAGGGTCAGGGATTGGCCCAGGCCCACATCTCTTCTTGCTTTGGGCCCGGGCCTTTGCAGGGTAAGGATTGGCCTGGGCACACTCATTTTCTTGGTCTGGCCCAGGCCTCTTTCATTTGATTGGCCCAGGACGAATTCTCTGGATAATTGGGCCCAGGCTTCTTTAGGGTCAGGGATTGGCCCAGGCCCACATTTCTTCTTGCTTTGGGCCCGGGCCTTTGCAGGGTAAGGATTGGCCTGGGCACACTCATTTTCTTGGTCTGGCCCAGGCCTCTTTCATTTGATTGGCCCAGGCCTAATTCTCTGGATAATTGGGCCCAGGCTTCTTTAGGGTAAGGGATTGGCCCAGGCCCAGGTCTCTTCGTGCTTTGGGCCCGGGCTTTTTCAGGGTCAGGATTGGCCTGGGCACACTCATTTTCTTGGTCTGGCCCAGGCCTCTTTCATTTTATTGGCCCAGGCCTAATTCTCTTGTTAATTGGGCCCAGGCTTCTTTAGGGTCAGGGATTGGCCCAGGCCCACATTTTTTCTTGCTTTGGGCCCGGGCCTTTGCAGGGTAAGGATTGGCCTGGGCACACTCATTTTCTTGGTCTGGCCCAGGCCTCTTTCATTTGATGGGCCCAGGCCTATGTTTCCTCTCTAACTGGGCCTGTGCTTCTTTAGGGTCAGGGAATTTCTTGGGTCCCCATGTCTTCTGATTTGGGGTCCAGCATTTTTCATGGTCAGGGTACCTGTTTAATATTAGGGTGTAGGTAGTCGATCCTTTCCATCCCATGCTTGCACAAATCTTTGACTAAGTCTTCGTCTATTTTCAGCAGTTCTGAAAAAATAGAAAGAAAAGTCAGGTGGACTTTGATAGTGGAAATAATAGCATCTTAAATGTCTCAGAACATCACTGACCTGTCCTCAGGGAAACTTGCAGAGACACAGACACAAATAGCCCACAGTTTACATAAAATAATTATACATTATACAAAGATGAAATATGTAGGAGAGAAAACTGGTTGGGTTAGTCCTTCCTGTTGCACAGCTGACGGTCTATGGTGGAGGGGATATCCATGAGCTCATGTGGAAAGACTGGTCCTTTGACTTTGTGAGATACACATAGGAAAGTCCCACCAAGACACCATGGTATATTTCCTTTCTGTGGTCTGAACCCTTGATGGAATATCACAGTTACATGAAACAGCAGCTGTTAGTGCTTCCATCATCTAGATGATGCCTTGCTAAGGCATACAAGTCTCTACAGATCATCACAAGATCTCTTTCCTGTGTGGGGATGGCATCCTCTCTCTGAATGTCATACATGGCCATGTTCAGTGATGGTATTTCTCTGATCCTTGTTTTGCAACCCTTCTCAAGGTCATATCTGTCTTGTCCATCAAAAACACCTCAACACCAAATCTGCCTTAGTCACCCCTTTCAAGAGAACCCCCTTTCAAGTACACTGGTTTGAGATCACTTCTTCACCTACAGAATTTTCTGCAGTCACTTACCTGAAATAGATCTCTGCCCACCTTCTCCTGAGCTAAATCCTGGTCCACTGTAATTGGCTCTGCTGCCCTCAGATGTGGGTCACACCTGTAACCATGACAGTGACCTTCATGTGAGGTCACAGAAGCCAGGCCTCACTCTGTCTGTGAAACTCAAAGGCTGTCAATGCACACAGATGTCTTTTGGGCTGGTACTTAGAGGAAGTCCCTGAAGTCCTCCCTTAAGATCATTTCTTGGGAACAAGCTCATATCCTGTCTTCCTTCTCCAGGGAATTTCACCCCTGGGCCCAGCTTGTTCAGTGGGAAAGGGTCATACTCATCCCTAATGTACACAGTTCATCTCTTGGTGTCTCATTTCTGTTCCTCAGTTTATCAACAAGTTTCTCTTGTCAAGAGATTATAAGTGTGCCATCTGCAGTATTTTGGGTGTCCAGCCGATGGAAAATGTTTGGGTACAACCTCTCCCATCACCACCATTAAACATAGCTTGCAGGAGGATTGCCCAGAAAGCAGGATGTCATGAAATTCCCTTACCTGGCCCTGCCATGATACAGTCAATGACTTCTAAGAATGTCACTCTGGAGACCAGCATAACATCAGAGCTTCATCCTCTGGTCGTTTGGAAACTGGAGTTCCAAGGCATGTGCTGGCTCTGCCTCAGCAGCTGTCACCTTTTCTTACAAATACAGGTGGAGATTAGTTGAAGTAAATTGACAAAATCACCTCACACATACACACATATTAACCCACAATTATATGAACACAGGTCTAATAAGTAAAGGCTTAAGTTTGAAAATAAAATGGATAGAGTATGGCATCAGTGACTGTGGCCATTCTGGGAAGGGCCTATGAGGCGAATGTAAAGATGATTTCCAGGGAGGTTCATGTCTAGAGAAGCCCAAAAGAAGCACCCCTACCTGTGAAGCATGTGCTCCCTGTGGGGATGTCACAAACAGGTGGGTGGTGCCAGTAATTATCATTAACATTCTGGAGGCTCAAGCCTTATGTCATAGACTATGCACTAAGTTGACACTTTCTTCAGAGGCCTCTCTTCATTAAATTTTACATATAATTTATAGTTAAATGTTTAAGTTAGGGAGATGGCTGTAGTTGTGTTTCATATTGTGTCCCTGACTTCAGCCATGCTGGGCAAAACCCATAGTTACAAAAGATAAGGATCATGCTTGGGAGAAACAACGACCTTTCAGAGCCCTGCAGTAATGAATTTGACCCACTCCCTACCTGTCCTGACACTGTGGGCTGCCATAGCTGAAGGTTGTCCCTGGCTTGGGCACAATAGCAGAGTTTGTTCTGCACCAGCCTGGAGGCTGAAGTCTTCTCATGTGATACAGGCTGGGTGTGGACATCCCATGGCCTCTTTCTCCAGTGAGTTGTGGGTGTTGTCTTCCTGAGTCCTTGTTACACTAGTTCTTTGTCACACATCCTACTGATTCTTCCTGCAGCTTTTTCTACAGCTATAGCACAGGTCTTGTTAAAGAACCACATTGTGCCTCATATCCTTTATCATCCCTGCTCCCAGTATAGCACAGTGAAGTTCAATTAGGCCTTCATCCCAGGAATCCTGTGTATATTTCTCCCTCTACAGTGCCTAAAGCTTCCTCTAAACACATCCAAGTGAAAACGTGTATAAGCACAGAATTAGAAGGAGAGTACTGCCATTGTGCTTCCTGTGATAGTGACATTGGTGTCTATTCCCATATTATGGCTGCTGTCTATCTTAGTACAAATGAAAACATTGCTGCCACCGGTGACTAGAGTTATCAGGGAAGGTCAGACATCAGTGCCAGGGATCCTTTGCCTACACTCCCTGAACAACCTACATGTGATTGTCAAATGTGGGCATACATACAGGAACCCACTGTCTTTCTCAGCTAGGTCAGAGGCTGGAGTCCTGGTCCAGATCCACCGTGTGGCTTCATCCCAAGGCCTCTCTCTCTGTGAGTGGAGGGGTTTCTCTACATGTGGTCTTGAGGTTCCTGTCCCACTGCTATGAGACTCCTGACTTCTGCTGTTTCTAGCTCTTCTTAGGATGAGCTGTCCTCGGGCTGGGACATTTCAAAACTAGCTATGTTTCGTTGTCACCATTTAAGATCTCAATAAAGAAGTGCCTCAAACTGAGTGAGTCACTCAGGTGATTCATTTCAGGTAGTGTCCACCCCAGAAAACAGCCCAGACTTACCCAGTCACATGCACTTGCTGTGGTTCAAGCCCTCCTTCTGGACTCTGGCTTGTCCTCAGGTAAGACCACCTGTATTTCTAGGACAGGGTTCAATTGTGAGGTCACAGAGGCCTCACCTACCTCATGCTGAGAATCCCAGGTCATCCAGACCTCAATTATCTCCCAGCCTGACCCATCCTTGTTCTTTGCCAATCTATGTGCAAACATCTTTGGAAGCACGTAGCTTTGGGAAAGCAGCTAGAATTGTTTCAGGGATATTTCTGTGAGCATGCATTACCTTTCTCTCCTGTCATTCCTCCATCTTCCCACAGGTACCATCACCCTTGAGAAGAGGAACGCTGTTGATAATGCTGCTTCCTCAGCTCAATTGTCTGAACTCACATCTGCCTCATCATCTCAGATTCTTCATAGTCACCATGGTGTATTGCTGGCACTCAGGCTGTGGGGTACCATCATCCGTGCCTTCTACCTGGCTCCAACAGTAGCCATATCTTATTTTCTACTTAACTCTCTGTACCATTAATCTTGAGTTTGTTTGTGGGTTATTAGCTTGTTCTTGTGTGGTATTCCTGTGGCCCTGGATTTTAGAATTAACAGCACAAAAATACATAGATGAATAACTAATAAGTACATACAGCATTGATGGTTCACAATAGAGTTGCAGGCAGAGCCCACCTTGTGAGGTACAGAGACCCCTGGAAGCACAAGGTTTTCCTTGTCCCAAACCAGCTGACCTTTCACTCAAAAAGCTGTGTGCAGGAATGATGAAGCTGTCCAGAAATGTGCCAAGCCCTTTGTGCCCTGGTGTGTGCAGGTTATGCAGTGGTATTCAGGTTTTGTTAGCCCTGCTCTGACCTGAGACTCTTTGTCAAATCTGTGCTTCCAGTGTCGGAAGTTCAGTCTCTCAATCACCAGGTTTCCAGTGTTTCTCATGAAGGGATGATGGACATAAATCTTGATTGACACCAAACAAGGAGACTTCTGGCCAACCTGGTCATGGAGCTACCGTGCATTCTGTGTAGACTCGAAATGTTGTAAGGATCAGACATTAATTGTGAAAATCTTGAAGGAGAGTCAATGGGTTCTTTTCTTTTTTAAGAAAGGGGACATAAAATTCTGGGTAGGGAGCTGAGGGCAGATCTGGAAGGAGTTAGGGGGAGGATTGTAGGGTAAGTAAGATCAGAATATATTGTGTGATATTGTCAAAGAAGTAATAAAATATGTATTCATTTATTCATTCATTTATTTATTCGACTTCATGCATTGACCTCTTTGAACATCCAAATACAAACAACCATGGCCCTTGCCTGGCCTCATCACCTTTCTTTAGTTGTGGAGAAAGATTCTATAACCCCTTTCTCATATAATGGCTCTAAAGCTGTATTTCTCTACCTGTGGTCAGGACCCCTTTAGGGGTGGTATTGAAAACTCCATTCACAAGGGGTATCCTTAGACCATAGGATATTTACATTACAATCCATAACAGTAGCAAAATTATAACTATGAATCTGCAATGAAAATAATATTATGGTTGTGGGTCATCATATCATACGGAACTATGTTAAATGGTTGCAGCATTAGGAAGGTTTAGATCAGAGACAGCTGATCTAAACAGGGGAGAGCTCTTGGACCCCAGACAGACAGCCAGGAGGCTAGCATGGGACTCATCTGGACCCCTCCCCCCCCCAAATGTGAGTGTCAGTGAGAAGGCCTGGGCAACCTATGGGGCCCTGAGCTGTGGATCAGTGTCTATTCCTGGAATACAAACAGTCATCCTGTGCCCATAACACAAAGATGGATGCTCTCTCAGCCTGGACTCTTAGGGGAGTGCCTGGACCCTACCCTGAGTGAAATGACAGACTCTAGATATCCCCTATGTGGAAGGAATTGGCAATAGGGTGGGAGGCTGAGGGGGAAGGGGAGTGCAGGAGGAGGAAAGGGAGAGGGAACTGGGATTGACGTGTAAAACAAGCTATTTAAAATTAAAATAAAAAAATTTAAAAAAGAACCACCTCTCTAAAGCCATAATCACGTGTGATAAGCTAAAAGTTCTACTGCTTCCTGAAGGTGGAACATTGCCCCCTCGTTCAAATACTTTTTCACTTTTTCTGGGTTTATGTTTGCCTTCACTGTCTAAGCTTACCAGTCCTGGAATTCAGTCTGTAGACCATGTTGCATGAACTCAGAGATCTACCTGCCTGTGCTTCCAGAGTGTAAAATATCACAAGAACAGTCTCTAGTCCACATACTAAAATTCTTATCCTCTGAAACCTACTGAGTCAGTCCCTCACAGTTCAAAGCACTCTCAGCACCACTATCTTCCATACTGCAACTGGTGAGGACCATTAAGCCCCACTTAAAGTGTTCAACTGCTTTCCTAGTCCAAAGTTCACAATCCTCCAAACAAAAGTGTGGCCATCCCAACACAGCAGCAATACACCACTTCTGACAACAAATACTGTCTAAGCTAGCGTTGTATTTCTTTGCAGAGAAACCATGGCCATGTGATAGTTTGAATGTAATTTGCCCCTATAATCTCATAAGGAGTGGCACTATTAGGAGGTGTGACTTTGTTGGAGTAAGTATGGCTTTGTTATAAATGTGTCTCTACAGGGGCAGGCTATGAGATTTCCTGTGTTCAAGATCCCACTCTGTGTCTCAGTTCACTTCCTGTTGCCTTCTATATATATATATATATATATATATATATATATATATATATATATATAATTTTTAAATTTAAATTAGAAACAAGGTTGCTTCACATGTCAATTCCATGTCCCTCTCCATTTCCCTCCCCTCCTCCAGTGCCCTCCCACCAACCCCCCCAATATCCCCTCATTTCCCCAAGAATGGTTAGGCCCTACATGGGGGTGTCCACAGTCTGTCATTTCATCCAGGGCAGGGCCTAGACCCTCCCATAAGAGTTCAGGGTGAAAGTACATCTCTCATTTTGGATGGGAGTCCAAAGTCCATTTGTATACCTGGGATAAATACTGATCTACTACCCAAGGCCCAATAGATTACCTAGACCTCCTCACTGACACCCACATTCAGGGGATCTTGATCAGTTCCATGCTGGATTCCCAGGCATCAGTCTGGGATTCAAGATCCTACCCTTGTCAAGTCAGCTGTTTCTGGGGGTTAAACCAGCCCAGTCTTAATGCCTTTGGTCATAAGTCCTCCCTCTGTCACTGGATTTCTTGAGTTCAGCTCAGTGCTTAGCCGTGGAAGTCTGCCTCTGCTTCCATCAGCCACTAAATGAAGGTTCTGTTTCCCAGATTCTCAGGCCATGGGATTGTAGGCTGGCACTCCACAGATCTATGTCTAAAATCCATATGTGAGAGAGTACATGCCATGTTTCTCTTTTTGTGACTGGGTTACCTCACTCAGGATGGCTTCTTGTAGTGCTGTCCATTTGCCTGCAAATTTCAGGATCCATTGTTTTTTCTGCTAAATAGTACTCCACTGTGTAAATGTACCACATTTTCTCTATCCACTCTTCGGTTAAGGGGCATCTAGGTTGCCTCCAAGTTCTGGCTATTACAAATAATGCTTCTATGAACATAGTGGAACAGACATCCTTGTTGTATGAATGGGCATCTTTTGGGTATATGTCTAAGAGTGTAGTTCCTGTGTCTTCTGGTAGATTGATTCCTATTTTTCTGAGGAATCTCCATACTGATTTCCAAAGTGGCTGTATAAGTTGGCATTCCCACCAGCAATGGAGGAGTGTTCCCCTTTCACCACATCCTCCCCAGCATAAATTGTTATTGATGTTTTTGATTTTAGCCATTCATACAGGAGTGAGATGGTATCTCAGAGTTGTTTTAATTTGCATTTCCCTGATTTCTAAGGATGTTGAGCACTTTCTCAAGTGTCTCTCAGCCATTTTAGACTCCTCTCTTGAAAATTCTGTATTTAGTTCTGTAGCCCACTTTTTAATTGGATACTTTGGTGTTTTGGAGACTTGCTTCTTGAGTTCTTTGTAAATTTTGGAGGCCAGCCCTCTGTCAGATATGGGGTTAGTGAATATTTTTTCACATTCTTTGGGCTGCCTTTTTGTCTTGCTGACTGTGTCCTTTGCCTTACAGAAGCTTCTCAGTTTCAGGAGGTCCCATTTATTAATTGTTGATCTCCCTGTCTGTGCTACTGGTGTCATGTTCAGGAAGCTGTCTCCTGTACCAATTTATTCAAGGGTACCACCCACTTTCTCTTCTAAGAGGTGCAGTGTGGCTGCATTTATATTGAGGTCTTTGATCCATTTCGACTTATGTTTTGTGCATGGCGATAGACATGGATCGATCAACATTCTTCTACATGCCAGCATCCAGTTATGCCATCACCATTTATTGAAGATGCTTTCTTTTTTTCCATTGTATATTTTTAGCTTCTTTGTCAAAGATCAGATATTCATTCATGTGTGGGTTAATATCAGGGTTTTCAATTAGATTCCATTGGTCTACCTGTCTATTTTTGTGTCAATTCCAAGCTGCTTTCAGGACTACAGCTCTATAATAGAGCTTGAAGTCAGGGATGGTGATGCCTACAGATGTTGCTTTGTTGAATAAGGTTGTTTTGGCTATCCTTGGTCTTTTGTTTTCCATACAAAGTTGATTATTGTTCTTTTAAGGTCTGTGAAGAATTGTGCTGGGATTTTAATGGGGGTTTAGGCAAAGAATGCTGCTTTTAAAATTAAATCAGGACTGGTAAGAGTGTTCAGTGGGGAAAGACACTTGCTTCCAATCCCAATGACCTGAGTCCTACAGCCAGGGTTCACAAAGTTGAAGAAGAGACCTGAGTCCCTCAAGTTGTCCTCTGACCACACATGTGTCCTGTGCCCATGCCCCCAACACACACAAATAAATAAAATTGAAATTTGTAAAACGAATAAGCATTCTCAATTAAAAGGTATAGTCATTGAAGGTAAAATAAGGAAATAGGCAAGTTTTTGTTTTTTAACTTTTCAAATAGTCTAATGTAATGCAGACCTGTCACAAATATACAAAACCACAGCATCATCTGATTAGATACAGAAAAGTTCTTTGACAAAATCCAAGTCCTCCATCGTGAAAGTTCTGGAGAGATTAGCAATACAAGGAACATACCTAAACATAATGGCAGTTTACAGCAAGCCCATAGCCAACATCAGTATAAATGGAGAAAATCTCAAAGCAAATCCCCTAAAACCAGCAACAAAACAAGACTCTTAAAACAAGACTGTTCACTCTCTCCATACATATCCCATACAGTACTTGAAGTCTTACCGAGAGCAATAAGACAACTGAAGGAGATCAAGGGGATACAAATTGTAAAGGATGAAGAGAAAGCATCTTTATCTGCAAATGATATGATAGTATAAATAAATGACTAAAAATTTTGACAAGAAACTTGTACATCTGAGAAAACTTTTATCAAAATATCTGGATACCAAATCAAATGACAAAAATCTGTAGTCCTCTTATATATGAATGACACATGGACTAAGGAAGAAATCGGGGAAACAACTCCCACCACAATAGCTTCACATAATGTAAAATATTTTGTGGTAACTCTTACCAAGCAAGTGAAAGATTTATATGATAAAAATTTATTGAAAAAAGAAAGTGAGGAAGATATTAGAAGTTGGAAAGATCTCCCATGCTCATGGATCAGTAGGGTTACTATAGTAAAAATGGCCATCTCTATTAAAAGCAATCTACACATTCAGTGCAATCCCCATCCAAATTCCAACACAATTTTTCACATATTTTGAAATGACAATTTTCAGCTTCATATGGAAACACATAAACAAAAATCTAGGATGGCTAAAAATACTAAATAATGAAAGAATTATTGGAATTATCCCTAATTCCAAGTTGTACTACAAAGCTATAGTAATAAAATCATCATGGCATTTTTGGCACAAAAAATAGAAATGTTAATCAGTGAAATAGAATTGATGAAGCATAAATAAATCTACATTATCTATTGACACTTGATTTTTTGATAAAGAAGTCAGAAACACTCACCGGGAGAAAGTCAACACCTTCAACAAATGATGCTAGTCAAACCGGATGATTGAAGGTAGAAGAATGCAAATGAATCCATATTTGTCACCCTACACAGAACTCAACTACAATTGAGGAACAAAGACCTCAATATAAAACATGGTACACTGAACCTACTAGAAGAGAACGTGGAGAATAGCCTTGAATGCACTGACAAGAAGACAACTTCCTGAACAGAACACACAAATAGTGCAGGTACTAAGATCAACAAATAATAAATGGGACCTCATGAAACTGAGACATATCTGTGAGCAAAGGACACCATCATTCAGAAAAATGGTTGGCTGCATAACGGAAAAAAAGGTTTTTTACCAACTACACATTCAATAGAGGGTTAATATCCAAAATATATAAAGAACTCAAAAAACTATATATCAAGAAAACAAAAATATTTTAAAAGGTGGTACAGTATATCCCTCCATTAGGAATGGGCTCCCCAAGTCCATTTGTAGCCTAAGAATAAACCCTGGCTCCCCTGGACTTTGATGATTCCCCATGGAGGCTCTTACTATCCCTGGGGAGTGGGTGGTGGGTGGGTTGGGGGTGTTGATGGGAAACATGGGAGGATGGGAGAGCAAGAAAAGAGGGGCAGATAAGTAAATAAACGTGCTTCGAAAATAAAAGTTTAAAAAGGTGGTGCAGACCCAAACAGAGAATTCTTAATAGAGAAATCTCAAATAGCTGGGAAATAGTTAAAGAAGTATTCATCATCCCTAGCCATCAGAGAAGTGCTGAGCAACACTACTTTGTGATTTCATCTTACAGCTGTCAGAATAGCTAAGATCAGTAACACAAGTCATAGCTCACGATGATGGGGATGTAGATCCAGGGGAACATTCATTCATTGTAGGTAGAAGAGCAAACTTGTACAACCAATGAAAAAAGGGAGCTGGAGAGATGTCTCAGCCATTCAGAGCACTGACTGCTCTTCCAGAGGATCAGGGTTCAATTCCCAGCTCCCACATGACAGCTCACAAGCATCTATAATGGGATCCGATGCCATTTTCTAGTGTGCAGACATACATACAAATTGAGCACTCATACAAAAACAAAAACAAAACAATAGAAACAAAACTCTGAGAATGTTAGGAGTAAAAGCAGAGGAAACACTTTAAAATAAAGGCAGGGGCTAAAAGCAGTGGCCAGGCACAGGGGCATATGCCTTTGGGCAGAGGCAGGGGGATCTCTGTGAGCTCGGTCAGCCTGTTGAAGGTTCAGGACAGCCAAACTGCATCGAGAGACTCCACCTCAAAACAAAAACAAGAAAGACAGAGGCAGAGAAAAGCGTTTTGTCAAATGGGACTCTAGTCAGCCAGGAAATAAGACAGCAATCACCAAACAGGACTTCATGGAATTCAGAGTCTCTGAGCAGCAAAGAGAACAGTGAACAGAGTGAAGAGAGGTCACAGAACGTCTTCGCCAGCGCCGCATCAGACAGAGACTAACACCCCGAGTACACACGAACTCAAAAACTAGACACTAAGAAAGCAAACAGCCCAATCACACAGTGGGGTATGGGGATGAACAGAAATCCCTCAAAAGAAGAAATGCACACTCAGGAATCAGAGGCAGGGGGATCTCTGTGAGTTCGAGGCCAGCCTGGTCTACATGGCAAGTTCTGAGCCATCTAGGCCAACTAAGTGAGTGCTTTCTCAAGAGGCTATTCCCCAAAGCCATGGGTTGTTAAAAAAATGGCACCCAGTTCCAGGCCTGAGCCGTCTCCCTGTGAATTGTGTGGCAGATGGCCCCAACAACAACACGGGGAATTACCAGTGCTCCCAGTTGCCCACAAGAAGCAGGTTACAAGACCCGTTGCTGGGAACACTGCATACTTTAATTACAGGGCATAGAGAAATTAAGCCATAACTAGGCTGAGAGCAACCCCCTGCTGTGGAGTGTTCTCAGTGCTAGAAGGGGCTACAGGGAACCCCGCGTGCCACACTACCCAAAGGGACACCTATGCCACGCCCCTCACATCCCAGGAGCATGGCAGGTTGTCAGGAGGGGTGGAGAACTGTGAAAAGAGCTCCCGGGTATGGCATGGACACTGCATTCTGGAACCCTGCTGCACACTGACCCCTCACAACGCCTCATGCAGGAGGGAAACACTCCCTCCCTGAGGATGACTAGGCAGACAGTGGTGGCAGTAGACACTGGTAAGTAGACTGCACTCCTGTGAGCCAAGCTAATTAAACACATTGGACCACCAAAAGCTAAACAAACAAACAAGTAAGACACAATAGGGTCTCTATTACTGTGAAGAAACATGGCCATGGCCACTCTTATAAAGGAAACATTTAATTGGGGTGGCTCGCTTACAGTTCATTATTATCATGATGGCAAGCAGGGCAGCGTGCAGGCAGACTTGATCCTGGAGGGGCAGCCAAGAGTCCTATCTTGCAGGCAACAGGAAGTCAATTGAAAAACTGGGTGGTGTTTTGAGCATAGGAAACCTCAAAGCCCCACCACCACCACCACAGTGATACACTTCCTCCAACAAGGCCATACCCACTCCAACAGAGTCACACCTCCTAATAGTGCCACTCCCTATGAGATCACGGGGACCAATTACTCTCAAGCTACCACAGCATAGAAACAATATATTATTTTTAAAGAAGAAACTGCTTTTTTCCAAGGCTGCTGGAGAGGTGGTCAGGGATGAGTAGGTGTGCTGACTGCTCTCCCACAGCACCAGGTTCAGTTCCCAGCACCCACATGGAGGCTCACAGCCACCTGTAACTCCAGCTCCAAGGGATCCTGATGCTCTCTTCAGGCCCCAGGTGCACATCCATACATACATGTGAAGCAAAAATGATCCCACACATAAAACAAAAATAAATGTGATGAGGGAAGTCCTATGTATATGTCAATAAAACACTGTTGGACAATAGGGAAGCAAGATAGGTGGGACTAGGAGTCGAGGAGTATGCTGGGAAGGAGAAACACAGAAAGTCAAGATGTAACCGCCATAGGTGTAAGAAGCCCGGAAACTTCTCCGGTAAGAGAAACACTTAGATTAACAATTATGGGATAAGTACTTAAGTCAGAGCTAGCCAGTAAGAAACAAGCAAGGCCAACAGCTTCATAATTAATACAGCGGCTTGTGTGTTAGTTGGGAACTACAACGTGGCAGAGCCCAGGCGACTGGCGGGGAAAAACCAAGCAGCAGGCAAGGAAAAGTCTTCTCTCTACATAAATGTGTTTTAAAGAAATCAGATCCTGGTATTTCAGTGCCTGACTTTAACCCCAGAAGTCAGCACTCAGTGCACAGAGTCAGGTGATCTCTGTGAGTTTGAGATCAGCCTGGTCTACATAACAAGCTCCAGGTCAGTTGGGGCTACATAGTAAGGTACTGTGTCAAAAGAACAATTCTACAAGTATAGTTCTTGTCGTCATGGTAGGAGGCAAGAGCTCAGCGGCTCAGCCAGCTCATGGCCCTGAATACTGAACTCCTAAGAAGTGCTAACATCTGCTGCTTGTCCTGAGGGCCACACTGTGAGAGCCCCTGTCCCAAGCCTGACTGGCTGGTGTCTCAAGTAAGAAGACAGGGAGAGGGCTGCCAGGAGAATACACCACAAAGCAGGCCACACCCTGTCCATCCTAGAGAGCTCACCAACAATGACAGACACTCGGGGAGGGAGCAGGCATGGAGTCAGAGATCAACCAGAGGCAGGGACTTTACACACAGCACAGGGCTGTGGTGGCTGTTGTGAGGAAGAGGAGGAGAAACACAGGTAGGAAACAGTGGGGTCTCAATTCACACTCAGCCCCTTTTAGAAGTGTGCTCTGCTCATGGAAACATCCACACCCCCACAGCTCCTGTCTCTAACCTGGGTCTTTTGTCATTTCTGGAAAATTCCTAGGGTTAGGTTCCTCCCTGGTCTCTCACAGCTTTTCTTCTCACAGGTGGAAGAGGAGGGAACTATGTTCCAGATACAGGTAAGTGTGGGGAGCAGGATTGTCCCTTAGACCCTTGGGGTGGACCTGGAGTATTTGCAGACCTCTGTCACCAATATTAGCTCCTCCAGCAAAATCTTGTAGGGGCCATGTTTTTACCTTCCAATGCCTGTGTGTGTGTGTGTGTGTGTGTGTGTGTGTGTGTGTGTGTGTGTGTGTGTGTATTCAGTGACAGTTACCAGAGGTCAGATATGTGTCTCCCAGACTGAAGGGGATTCTGGTATCTAATTGCGGGTGGCAAAGCAGACATGTTTGTGTCTCAGAGACTCCCAGAATTTCCTGTGAGTGAGTAGTAGATTGTTGGGATGTTGTCTTCACAGTGATTATTCATGATTCTTGTTTGTAGCGTGGAAGACAGCTGACTTGTGTGGACAGAATGACAGACAGTGTGTTCAGGCCTCTGCTGTGACATCCAGGGCCCCTAGGTTCACTTTTAGCAACAGTGTCTGATGTTCCCTGTGATCCTATGGGCTGAATATGAAGAACTGGGAGCCCAGCCCAGCCCTGGACATCAGGACCCTGTCCCTGCACTGCCTGTGTTCTCTTCCATGGCCAGCCCTCCTGTTCCAGCAGACAGGAGGGGACACATTATCCTGTTACCTCTTCCTGCTCTGAGCTTCAGGTCCCAACTTCCGCACTGAAACTAAGGATCTCAATTTGAATTTGATTGTTCACATCCTTGAGCTGACAGGCTGATAGCTGTTAAATGTATTATTGAGATACTTAGAATTTGAGGAGGAAGTGAATGGCAGCGTGGAGAACCTCCCAGAAATGTGCGCATCATGTTCTGTGTCTCTGGTGTCACAGGATGAGGCTGTGGGAGCTGAGTGAGAGCAGGGTTGTGCCCAGGCGCAGCTCAATTTGATATTGGCTGTGACATGGTCAGTCCTCAGCTCTGTCACCTCCTGGCTCTGTTCTCCTCATCACTTAGAACCACATGATGAGATCTGTGATCACAGAGAAACAGGGATGGCCAGAGTCCTGTTCTGTCCCAGGAGTGTGAGCAGCCAGGACTGGTGGGACAGATCACGCTGGGCTCTGACCTGGCTGTAGCTCTTTACCCCATTTTCGCTGTTTATTGTTGTCTTTTTACTTTTTATGGAGCACTAGGCTTGTTCTTGTTCCTGTAAGTAGAGCCTGCCTCCTTATCACTTGTGCCCCCTGAGTGACAGCATTAAAATGTGTTTATCCTTCCTTTCCCATTAGAACCCTTCTAGGCCCCTGCACTCAGGAGACTGTGACCTAAGAACATGAACTTCAATCTGAGCTCCTGCCTCCCTCCAGGCCCCTCCCTGGTTCTCTCCTTTCCCATCATTTAGAATTTAACCATAGTTGTAGGATGGCAGAGAGGAGGGATCCACAGGGTCTCATCTCAGATCTGTCCTGTTGGATCTGTACTCTGCCCATGGTCCTCTCTCCCTCTCTGGCTCTGGGAATCCTGGTGCTGCCTCCAGTGGTGACTCCAGGATTTACAGGCTGAGTCTACTTTAGATTTGTGTTTATTTAAAAGATATGATCTGTTTTGTCTTGTTGACTGTGCCCTTTGCCTTACAGAAGCTTCTCAGTTTCAGGAGATCCCATTTATTAATTGTTGATCTCAGTGTCTCTGTTATGTTCAGGAAGTGGTACCAATTCATTCAAGGGTATCTCCCACTTCCTCTTCTAAGAGGTTCAGTATGGCTGGATTTATGTTGAGGTCTTTGATCCATTCGGACTTAAGTTTTGTGCATGGTGATAGATAATGATCTATCTGCAATATTCTACATTGTCAGCGTCCAGTTATGCCAGCACCATTTGTTGAAGATGATTTCTTTTTTCCATTTTTTTTCTATTGTGTATGTTTTGATTCTTTGTCAAAAATCAGGTGTTCATAGGTGTGTGGGTTAATATCAGGGTCTTCAATGGAATTCTATTGGCCTACCTGTTGGTTATTGTGCCAATGCCAGTCTGTTTTCGTTACTATAGCTCTCTAGTAGAATTTGAAGTCAGGGATGATAATGCTTCTGTATGTTCCTTTAGTGTACAGGGTTGTTTCAGCTATCCTGGGTTTTTGGGTTTTTTTAGTTATTTATTTATTACATATAAGTGTTCTGCCAGAAGAGGGCACCAGATAGAATTGTAGATAGTTGTCAGCCACCATGTGGTTTCTGGGAATTGAACTCAGGACCTCTGGAAGAGCAGTCTATGCTCTTAACCTCTGAGCCATCTCTCCAGCCCTATGCTGGGTTATTGTTTTTCCATATAAAGTTGAGTATTCTTCTTTCAAGGTCTGTGAAGAAGGAAAAATGGCAGCCCACAGAATGGGAAAAGATCTTCACCAAACCCACATCTGACAGCTGATTTTCAAAATATACAAAGAGCTCAAAAGCTAGTCACCAAAATAATCCAATGAAAAACTGGGGTCCAGAACTAAATAGAGAATTCTCCATAGAGGATTCTAAAATGGCTGAAAGACACTTAAGAAATTGTTCAACATCCTTAGCTATCAGGGATGTGCAAATCAAAACAACTCTGAGATACCATCTTACACCTGCCAAAACACCAATCACAGTTTATGCTGGAGAGGATGTGGAGAAAGGGGAACACTCCTCCATTGCTGGTGGGAATGCAAAATTGTGGGGCCACTTTGGAAATCAGTATGGTGGTTTCTCAGGGAATAGGGAATCAGTCTACTTCAAGATCCGGCAATTTCAATCTTGGGCATGTATCCAAAGGATGCACATTCATACAACAAGGACATCTGTTCAGTTATGATCATTTGTTTGATTTCTTTGTTTATTTTTACGAGACAGGGTTTCTCTGTATTGCTTTGGAGGTTGTCCTGGAACTTGCTCTGTAGACCAGGCTGGCCTCAAAATCACAGAGATTAGCATGCCTCTGCCTCCTGAGTGCTGGCATTAAAGGCATGTGCCACCAACGCCGGGCTTCAACTATGTCCATAGCAGTGTTGTTTGTAATAACCAGAACCTGGAAGCAACCTAGATGCCCTCAACCAAAGGGAAAAAATGAAATCTTGAAATTCTCAGGCAAATGGATGAAACTGGAAGAAACCATCCTGAGTGAGGTAACACAGTCACAGAAAGACAACCATCGTATGTACTCTCTCTTATATGGATAATAGACATAGAGAAAAAGACTACTAGCCTACAATCCACACCTCCAGAGAAGCTAGGAAACAGAGAAGACCCTAAGAGAGACAGACATACCTGGTTCCCAGAGAAAGGGAACAGGGTAAGATCTCCTAAGAACACTTGGGACCACGGGGGTTGGGAGGGACATGAATGGGGACAGAGATAGGAAACATAGGAGGGGGGATCAGGAAGACTGAGTCAGGAGAAGATAGAGGAGAGCAAGAAAGGAGATACCTTATTAGAGGGAGCCATTATAGGGTTAAAGAGAAATCTGGCACTAGGGAAGTCTCCAAAGATCCACAAGGATGACCCCAACTAAGAATCCAAGTAATAGTGGAGAGGCTGCCTTAAATGCCCTTTGCCAATAATGAGATTGATGTCTATTTTAAATTCCATCCTAGAGCCTTCATCTGGTAGCTGATGGAATAGAAGCAGACACCACAGCTAAGCACTGAGCCATACTCCTGGAATTGAGTAGTAGAGAGGGAGGAGGGATGAGCCAAGGGGTCAGGACCTTGCTGGAGAAACCCACAGAAACAGCTGACCTGACCAAGTGAGAATACACAGACCCCAGTTGGAAAGCTGGGAAACCAGCTTTGGACGGAACCAAGCCCTCTGAATGTGGGTGTCAGTTAGGAGGACTGGGCAGTCTATGGGACCTCTGACAGTGGAACCAGTATCCATCCCTAGTGCACAGATGGACTTTTGGTAACACATTCCCCATAGAGGGTTACTCTCTCAGCCCAGATGTACCAAGGAGGGCCTAGGACCTCCCCCAATGATTTGGCAGACTTTGATGATCCCCCATGAAGGCCTCACTCTCCATGGGGGTAGATGGGGGGTGGGATGGGGGATCAGTGGGGATCATTGTAGGATGGGAGGGAGAGGGAACTGGGGTTGATATGTAAATAAGACTGCTTCTAAATTATAACTAATTTTTTAAAAAAGACAAGATCCTGGGACTTAAGAGATGTCTCAGGGTTTCAGAGCCTGGCTCTTCCTGCAGAGGGACCATGTTCAGATACCAGCACCTACACAGTGGCTCACAGCCTCCTGTTCGTCCTGCTCCACAGCATCAAATGCCCCTGTGGACACAAGATAGACACATGGTGCAAATACACACAGGTAAGAAAATACTCATAGATATAAAATTAACAAATCTTTTAAAAATAGGTTATGGGATCGCCAGAGAGGGAAATTATGTCATCCCCTGCTCCAGGTTCTGGGACCCATGGTTTCTCTTCTAGCCTCGTGACTTCAAGTCAGGAGCTCCAGGAGTCTTAACAGAGATGTCTGATGACCAATATCATGATAATCTCTGTCGTGATGCAGCCATCTTTGTCTTGTGAGGGATGATGACTTCCAGTGTCAGGGACTCTGCAAACATTCATACCCAATACATGTTTGATGAATGAACTAAAAAAATGGGATTATGGATCACAGACATAAAGGCAGGTGTGATGGGGAATGTCTTTCTTGTATATATGTTTCTCTTATTGGTTGATGAATAATACACAGTTTGGCCAATGGCCAGGCAGAAGGCAGAGGCGGGGCTATGAGATGCTGGGTAAGGGAAGGCAGAGAGAGGTGCTGCAAAGGGACTCCATGCTGCTGAAGGAGTTACTACATGCCGTGGCATTACCCGGTAAGCCACTGCCTCGTGGCAATACACAGATTAATAGAAATGGGTTAATATTAGCCAGAAAGAAGCCCTAGCCATCAGCCAATAGTTTAAATATTAATACAGCATCCCTGAGTTTATTTGGGGCTAAAAGGGCAGTGGAACCAGGCATGACAGAAACTTCAGTCTACACAAGCGGGGAGAGGAAGGGAGGGTTTTGCTGAGTGAAGAGCTCAGGTGACCCTGACCTCAGTGTGAGGGGACCTGGTGCTGCCCCTGACACACCAGCACTTGGCTGAGGTTGTATTAACAAAGGGAGCTCCTGTAGGGGAGGGAGGTGATGGTGTGAATTTTCCTCTAGACTGAAGGAACCTTCCTTCTGGAGTCAGGAGGAGGCTGATGGGGCTCAGGAAACACAAGAAGCTACAGGTTCAGGGAGCTGACACAATGTAGCACTTCCCTCTCAGGGTTAAACCAGCTGTGGTTCCTGAGGGAGAGGAGTCTGTTGAGCTGAGCAGCTGGGAGCTGGGCAGGGGACTCAGTGATGCAGCTGCCTGAGTGACATGCACACTGGGGTGGGATGTCAGTGCTTATCCCTGACTCACCCAGGATCCTGTGAGTGACCAGTGAGCTCAGGGCTCACTGAGCTGATGGTGAATGGATGTTCTCCTTGGTCTGCTGTCACTGTCTTATTTGGGGTGGAGGAAATCCACTCCTCAAGCAGGGGACACAGTGGTCTGTTCCAGATGTGAGATGTACACTCTGTTTCTGAGACTCATTGGGTAGTGATATGGTGTTGCTGGTCTCCTGGAGCCAGCACTGTGGTGGGCAGACGCCTGTGATACAGTGTAAGGGAATAAACAAGGACAGGTTGTCTCAGGAGCTGGAAGGCAGAAGGGGAGATGCCCAGAGGGCAACTGTATAGACCAGTGCAAAGATTTATTCTCCTAGCTGCTGAACCAAGTTCTTGACAGGCTGGGGATCCTGCAGGGAAGATGCTCTGAGGCAGGAGCATGGCTGTGTGTTCTGAGAAGACTAAGGAAGCAGATGCCTGGAGCAGAGTCACAGTCTGTCTGCTCCATGAGGCCCGGGAGAATGCTGGAAACTTCCAGCTGTTCCATAGCAGTTCTTTCTGAGTTGAAACCTTCTGTCTTGGAGGGACAGGGAGGCCCACGGCACTCAGGAGGTAATGAAAGGTCATGTGTCTGGGAGAACAGCAAATGGGAAGAGGGGTGGAGAGCTGGCTCCATAGGGAAGAGCGTTCACTGCTCTTCTAGCTGACATAAGTTCAATTCCCAGCACCTACACGACTGCTCACGGCCATCTTCAGCTCAGATCCTAGAGATCCAACGCCCTTCTCTCACCTCAGTGGGTATTACACACGCATGGTGCAAACACAGACACGCAGAGAAATCACCATACATGTAAAGTAAAACAAGTCTTAAAAAATTGTTTCAGGCGATGGTGTTCCACTCCTTTAATCCCAGCAGAGGCAGGCGAATCTCTCTGAGATTGAGGCCAGCCTGATCTACAGTGAGTTCCAGGGACAGCCAGGGTTACACAGAGGAAGCCTGTCTTGATAAAAACAAAACAAAAACAAACAAAATCTTGGAAATTTCTCAATGACTCCTCCCCAACAGTATAAAAGGAGTATCACATCCTGACCAGTCCACCGTGGAGAAGAGAGTTCTCTGATGTGATGGTCTAGCAGCCTGGAAGCTGTGCAGAGAGCTCCAGGGAGAAGTTTCACCAGTCATTTCCCATGTTGGAGTTGGCTATTCAGTGATGCCGTGGACTGTGAGTTACCCCTCTCCCAGACGCCTGTTAGTGACCCACTCTCCCCTCTCCTATTCAGCATAGCACTCCAAGCCTTGGGCTCAGCAAACAGGAAAAGGAAGGAGATTATGGGACTCACAAGCACGGAGAATGGAGTCAAATCATCGTACCCGCAGGTGACACGAGTCTAAAACTCCACAGCTGATGACCACCTTGAGCAAAGTGACAGGTCACAAAATCATCACGCAGGCATCAGTAGCTACCTTGTTTACAAGAAAACCACACTGAGAAAGAAATCAAGGGGGGAAAGTTCCATCACGACACCCCAAAACCAAAAAAGCTTGGAATAAGCCAACATGAACATTCCAAGATGACAGCTATAAAACACTAAAGAATACAGTTGAGGAAGACACTGAAAGGTGGGAAGATCTGCTAGGCTCATAGATTGGAAGAATTAATGTTAGAAATGGTCTTCATACTAAAAGCAACCTACAGCCGGGCATTGGTGGCGCACGCCTTTAATCCCAGCACTCGGGAGGCAGAGGCAGGCGGATCTCTGCGAGTTCGAGGCCAGCCTGGTCTACAGAGCGAGTTGCAGGACAGCCTCCAAAGCCACAGAGAAACCCTGTCTCGAAAAACCAAAAAACAAAAAACTAAAAGCAACCTACAGATCTAAAGCCACCAATCAGAATTCAGTGCTGTTCTCACAGATACAGGCAGAGAAGTCAAGCAAAAGCATAAATACCCTGGACAGTCAAAGCAATCCTGAGCACTGGAATAATGCTGGAGCCAGGCATGGGGGTGCACACTTTTAATCTGAGCAGTTGGGAGACAGAGGCGGGCAGATCTCTGTGACTTGGAGACCAGTCCAGTCTGGTCTGCAGATAGAGTTTCAGGCCAGACACGATTGATTACACAGTGAGACCCTGTCTCAAAACAGCAACAACAGGGGCTGCTCTTCCAGAGTCCTCAGTTCAATTCCCAGCACCCACATGGTGGCTCACAACCATCTGTAATAGGATCTGATGCTCTCCTCTAGCCTGTAGGCATACATGCAGAACATTCATATATAAAATATAAATAAATAAATGAATAAATATTAATAAACAAAAAAGTCCCAGCAACAACAAGCTGGAAGGTGGTTGTACACACCTATAATCCCAGCACTCTAGAGACAGACAAAACGTGGTCTCTGTAAGTTCAAGGCCAACCTAGTCTACAAAGTAAGTTCCAGGGCAGCTAGAGCTGTTATACATATAAACCCAGTCTGGAAAAACCAAAAACAACAACATCAAACAAACAAAACAACAACAGCAAAACCATACGTCATTTCAAGTTGTCCATCACAGATAGACAGTCAGCATGGCACAGAGACAAAACTTTTATGTGTATGAGTATGTTCTGCATGTATGTATGTATGTATGTATGTATGTATGCATGCATGTATGTGACCACATGGGTGTCTAGTGCCCTAGGAGGTCTGATGGCCTCAGAACCTCAGAATTACAGTTATGAATGATCATTAGCCTCCATGTATGTGCTGGGATTGGAACCTAGGCCGTCTACAAGGGCTGTAAACACTGTCAACTTCTTTTTTTTTTTTAAAGATTTATTTATTTATTATGAATGCAACACCTTGCCTCCATGTATGCCTGCACGCCAGAAGAGGGCACCAGATCTCATTACGGATGGTTGTGAGCCACCATGTGGTTGCTGGGAATTGAACTCAGGACCTCTGGAAGAGCAGTCAGTGCTCTTAACCTCTGAGCCATCTCTCCAGCCCAATACTGTCAACTTCTAAACCAGTGGTCCTCAAACCTTGGGTCATAATCCAAGAGGGTTGCATATCAGAAACTTAAATTACAATTCATAACAGTAGCAAAAATTACAGTTTGAAGCAACAATGAAAATGATTTTCTGGTTGGGAGTCACCACAACATGAAGAACTGTATTAAAGGGCTTCTGCATTAGGAGGCTTGAGAACCACTGTTTTAAACAATCTCTCCACTCCAGAAACATACTATTCTAGACAAAAGTGCCAAGTCTGTATATTTGAGAAAAGAAAACATCATCAACAAATCAACTAAGAAAATGGTGTCTCATGTAGAAGAATGCCTTTAATCCCAACACTTGGAAGGCAGAGGCAGATGGATCTCCAGAACAACCAGGGTTATAGACATACCTGGTCTTGAAAAATGAAAAAAAGGGAGCTGGAGAGATGTCTCAGCAGGATCAGGGTTCAACTCCCAGCTCCCACATCACAGCTCACAAGCATCTATAATGGGATCCGATGCCATTTTCTAGTGTGCAGGCATACATACAAATTTAGCACTCATACAAAAAACAAAAACAAAAAAACCAATAGAAACAAAACTCTGAGAATGTTAGGAGTAAAAGCAGAGGAAACACTTTAAAATAAAGGCAGGGGCTAAAAGCAGTGGCCAGGCACAGGGGCACATGCCTTTGGGCAGAGGCAGGGGGATCTCTGTGAGCTCGGTCAGCCTGTTGAAGGTTCAGGACAGCCAAACTACATAGAGAGACTCCACCTCAAAACAAAAACAAGAAAGACAGAGGCAGAGAAAAGCGTTTTGTCAAATGGGACTCTAGTCAGCCAGGAAATAAGACAGCAATCACCAAACAGGACTTCATGGAATTCAGAGTCTCTGAGCAGCAAAGAGAACAGTGAACAGAGTGAAGAGAGGTCACAGAACGTCTTCTCCAACGCCGCATCAGACAGAGACTAACACCCAGAACACACAGGAACTCAAAAACTAGACGCTAAGAAAGCAAACAGCCCAATCACACAGTGGGGCATGGGGATGAACAGAAATCAGTCAAAAGAAGAAATACACACTCAGGAATCAGAGACAGGGGGATATCTGTGAGTTCGAGGACAGCCTGGTCTACATGGCAAGTTCTGAGCCATCTAGGACAACTAGGTGAGTGCTTTCTCAAAAGGCTATTCCCCAAAGCCATGGGTTATTTAAAAAATGGCACCCAGTTCCAGGCCTGAGCTGTCTCCCTGTGAATTGTCTGGCAGATGGCCCCAACAACAACACGGGGAATTACCAGTGCTCCCAGTTGCCCACAAGAAGCAGGTTACAAGACTTGTTGCTGGGGACACCGCATACGTTAATTACAGGACATAGAGAAATTAAGCCATAATTAGACTGAGAGCATCCCCCCTGCTGTGGAGTGTTCTCAGTGCTAGAAGGGGCTGCGGGGAACCCCTGTGTGCCACACTACCCAAAGGGACATCTGTGCCACGCCCCTTACGTCCCAGGAGCATGGCAGGTTGTCAGGGGGGGTGGAGAACTGTGAAAGGAGCTCCCGGGTATGGCATGGCCACTGCAGTCTGGAACCCTGCTTCACCCTGACCCCTCACAACGCCTCATGCAGGAGGGAAACACTCCCTCCCTGAGGATGACTAGGCAGACAGTGGTGGCAGTAGACACTGGTAAGTAGACTGCACTCCTGTGAGCAATGCTAATTAAACACATTGGACCACCAAAAGCTAAACAAACAAACAAGTAAGACACATGTTAGGGTCTCTATTGCTGTGAAGAAACATGACCATGGCCACTCTTATAAAGGAAACATTTAATTGGGTTGGCTCACTTATAGTTCATTATTATCATGATGGCAAGCAGGGCAGCCAGCATGCAGGCCGACTTGATCCTGGAGGGGCAGCCAAGAGTCCTATCTTGCAGGCAACAGGAAGTCAATTGAAACACTGGGTGGTGTTTTGAGCGTAGGAAACCTCAAACCACCACCACCACCACCACAGTGACACTTCTTTCCAACAAGGCCATACCCACTCCAACAGAGTCACACCTCCTAATAGTGCCACTCCCAATGAGATTATGGGGGTCAATTACATTCAAACTACCACAGCATAGAATCAATATATTATTTTTAAAGAAGAAACTGCTTTTCTCCAAGGCTGCTGGAGAGGTGTTCAGGGATGAGTAGGTGTGCTGACTGCTCTCCTGCAGCACCAAGTTCAGTTCCCAGCACCCACATGGAGGCTCACAGCCTCCTGTAACTCTAGCTCCAAGGGATCCGATGCCCTCTTCAGGAACCACGGGCACATCCATACATCCATGCAAAGAAAAAACAATCGCACCCATAGAACAGAAATAAATATGTTTTAAAGAAATCTGATCCTGGTGTTGTGGTGCCTGACTTTAACCCCAGGAGTCAGCACTCGGGGCACAGAGTCAGGTAATCTCTGTGAGTTTGTGACCAGCCTGGTCTACATAACAAGCTCCAGGTCAGCCGGGCATTGGTGGCGCACGCCTTTAATCCCAGCACTCGGGAGGCAGAGGTAGGCGGATCTCTGTGAGTTGGAGACCAGCCTGGACTACCAAGCGAGTTTCAGGACAGCCTCCAAAGCCACAGAGAAACCCTGTCTCGAAAAATCAAAAAAAAAAAAAAAAAAAAAAAAAGCTCCAGGTCAGCCAGGGCTACATAGTAAGGTACTGTGTCAAAGAACAAAGAACAATTCTACGGGTAGAGTCACATCGTCAGGGTACGAGGTAAGAGCTCAGTGGCTCAGCCAGCTCATGGCCCTGAATACTGAACTCCTAAGAAGTGCTAACATCTGCTGCTTGTCCTGAGGGCCACACTGTGAGAGCCCCTGTCCCAAGCCTGACTGGCTGATTTCTCAAGTCAGAAGACAGGGAGAGGGCTGCCAGGAGAATACACCCCAAAGCAGGCCACACCCTGTCCATCCTAGAGAGCTCACCAACAATGACAGACACTCGGGGAGGGAGCAGGTGTGGAGTCAGAGATCAACCAGAGACTTTACACACAGCACAGGGCTCTGTTTCTGGCTAGTGACCTCTGCTTGGCCTTGTATTTTCGCTGTCAGGGCTACGATGTAACCAGAGGGACTCCTCTCACCCTCAGATGGAGTGACATAGTTTGAGGGGTTTGAGAAAATTACAGGGTTAACAGAAGGGGCCATGGTGATGCTGAAATTTTGGTGATTGGCTTCAAATGTATCCAGGCTTACCCTAAGTACAATCAGGGTGTCCCACCGATAGTGTGATGGAGCCTACGGGACACTAGAGGGCGCGCTGAGCTCGCGGAAGCCGCAGTCCAGGGCCCCGCAGAATCCCTTGCAGGTGAGTTTAACAAATTGTCCTTTGCTACACTGATTTTGTTTATTTATTGTGACAATTATCTTCTGCTTTCTTTTTAAATTTTATTTTACTACTTTACGGTTATGGATGTTTTGTCTCCGTATACGTGTCTGGTGTCTCTGGGAAGCCAGAAGAAAGAACGGGATTCCCAGAACTGGAGTGAACCAGCTTGTGGGTGCTGAAACTCAAACCCCAGTCCTCTGGGAGAGCACCTGGTGCCATCTCTCCAGCTCTCCTATTTTTGTTTTGTTTTGTTTTTCCAAGGGAGTGGGTTCTGAGAAAGGATCTCACCTGTAGCCCAGGCTAGCCCGGTTCTCTATTCAAGGTTGGTCTCAAATCCAAGGTGATCCTCCTGCCTCAGCTTCCAAAGTGCTGAGATGATTAGTGTGAGTCTCCACATTCTGCTTTAACCCACGTGTAAAGATTCAATCAGGGGGGAAAATACTATCAAAAATGGTAGGAGGCATCTCCACTCTTTCGGGTTAGGTTTTTCATTTATCAGTTTGTTAGTTTTTTTTTTGTTTGTTTGTTTGTTTGTTTTTCAAGACAGGGTTTCTCTGTGTCGTCCTAATGGTGCTGAAACCTTGTCTGTAGAGCAAACTAGACACAAACTCACAGAAATCCACCTGCCTCTGACTACCAAGATTTGGTGTACGCCACTATCTCACAGCTCTTTTTTATTTTTTAAGACCTCTTTTTTTTTTTTAATTTTATGCCTGGGTGGTGGTGATGCACGCCTTCAAACCCAGCACTTGGGAGACAAAGGCATGTGGATCTCTGTGAGTTCCAGGACAGCCTGATCTACAGAGCTACACACAGGGAAACCCTGTCTCGAAGGAGAAAAAATAAAAAATAAAAAGTCAATTATGGCCAGGCATTGGTGGCGCACGCCTTTAATCCCAGCACTCGGGAGGCAGAGGCAGGCGGATCTCTGTGAGTTCAAGGCCAGCCTGGTCTACAGATCGAGTTCCAGGACAGCCTCCAAAGCCACAGAGAAACCCTATCTCGAAAAACCAAAAAAAAAAAAAAAAAAAAAAAAAAAGTCAATTATGGTGAGGATGTAATGTATGAGAGAATAGATAATAATGATAAAAGGTAAAAACATCCCTTTCTCTTACACGCTCACAGACTTGAAGGCAAACTGTGTCCCAGGCTGGCCATATCATATATTCATGGTCCTCCTGCCTCCTGCCCCTGGAGAGCTTGGGTTTTCAGACATGGCCCTCCACACCTGGCTCCCGGCACTCTTCCTCCCATTCTTTTCTTTTCTTCAGTGTGGAGCGACTTCCCAGTACAATGTGATCCCTTGGTAAGCTCACTGAAACCGAGCAAACAAAGAGAAGTTGCCTTGGAGAGGCTGGAGACAATGGAGACCTCCCCTCCCCAGCCCGAGTGACCTTGAGGAGAACGACTTCCCAGAGGAATGTGGCCTGAAGCCAGAACCAGAACAAAGTGGCCTGAGGTGAGAGAGGAAGAAAGGTGCCCTTAGGTGACTGAGACTGCGTGGAAGCTGGACAGGGCTGGGCTTTCTTCTTTATCTCTGGTACCTAGACAAGGGACTTCCCATTGGCTTGGCTCCTTCAGCCTCCAGAGAGTCAAACTCCTCTTGCAGTCCTAGCTCCTTATGAAAAACTGACATGCTTTGGCCCAGTTTCCGACTTGTGCAATCCTGGGAAATGTTAAAGGGTTAGCTAGCCCTCGCCTCACATTTTGGGGTACTGTTTCTTACAATGTGTGATTTTAAAAAAATTTCTTTTTGGTCCAATAGATTTTCCAGGCTGAGCAAGGCTTCTTTCTCCCCTCCCTACTGGTCTTTAGAGGCAAGCCAAGAAGAAAAGGAGGTGGAGAGAGACCAGCCAGGCAGCTCACCCCCAACACAGGCACCCTCGAGGACTGTGGCTGGGGGGCCAGGGGCAGTTTCCTTGAAGGCACTGCTGTGGCATACAGAAAGGGGATGGGGGCCTATGATGGGGCCATAGGCAATAAACCCACCAAGGGACTCTGAAATAGGTAAGGTACAATGCTGAGTGACAGGGGACCATCACTGAGCCAGACCCTGCATCACCAAAGCTAAGAAAGGGACCAGACAGACTCGAAGTGAAGTCCAGATACTAAGACCCTAGCTGCGCGGCTGGAAGGTGCCCTGTCCTGCCCGTCCTTCCTCTGGGCCAAGGCACAAGCCCTGTGTCTTGGGTCTACTCTCTTGACTCCCTCTCTCCCTACCCCATGCCCAAGTGGGGACGCACAAAAGATTCTGGGAACCTTTCCCCACCCCACCCCACCCCCAACCCTTGAGGCAGGGTTTCTCTGTGTGTCCCTGGCTATCCTGGGGCTCACTCTGTAGATGGAGCTGGCCTTGAACTCAGAGATCCTCCTGCCTCTGCCTCCCAAATGCTAGGGTTACACTATGCCGGGAGGATTCTAGAGCCCAACCCTCCCAGAGGGATTTGATCTCTCCTTTTGTTCTCCACCACAGTGATGCAATTGCTAAACAATAAAATGATTTTTTAATCAGCAGTTTTCATTTTTCAGTGGGATTATTTTCTTTATCTGTTTATTTATGGTGCAGGGGATTGAACCCAGTACTTTACCCACTCCAGGCAAGGCTCCAGTTTGCTCTACATCCAAAGCCCTAGGGGAGGGAGGGGCTGGAGAGGTGGCTCTGAGTTTGACATGCCTGCCGCTCTTGCAGTGGACCTGAGTTCAGCTCCTGCACCTGCATGGGAAATTCACAATTGCCAGTAACTCCAGTTCCAAGGGATCCAATGCCCTCTTCGGGCCTCCCGAGGAGCCTCTATGTGTGTGGTACCCATACACACATACATATATACTCAGGCCCACACACATACACATACATTTTAAATTTTTAGTTTTTTTTTAATTCCCAACAGTGTAGAGGCAGAGACAGGCAGGTTTCTCTGAGCTTTGAGACCAGCCACAGTCTCTATGGCAAGTTCCAGAACAGCCAGGGCTAAGTACTGAGATTCAAAAACAAACAACCAACGTCGTCTTGACCAAGTTCTTTCATCTTCTTGAGGGCTGGGCTAGATCTTTTCAAGAAAATGGAAAACTGGAGTGAATTCTAGTCCCGGCTATTGGCCAGGACAGTTGAGTTGTTGTTTGCACCCCCCAGGGAGGCTTCTTTCAGGAGGGACTCTCAGCCCCAGGCTGCGGAGCCAGTGACCTTCACCTGGGATGGTGGGCTACAGCCAGCCCCAGCCGGGGTGTGACCAGTGAAGCAGCAGTGAGACTTGTCACCTGCCTGAGGGGGAGATAAGACGCCTCAGCCTGTCTGTGGTTTGTTTATGACCTCAGATGGCCAGCCTCACGCCTAACGGCTGACAAATATTCAGGGAAGAGACCCTTCTGGAAGCAAAAAGGTAATAGAGACACCTATGGCCCCTGGAAGCTGCTTCTACCAAGTGTGACTTCACACTCACTATCCACGGAAATACCCCCAGCCCGGGCCCACAATCCAAAACACCTTCTCCTCCTTTTGTTGAGATTGTGTTTGTTTGTTTGTTTGGAGGTTTTTGTTTTTTGGGTTTTTTTGTTTGTTTTGTTTTGGTTTTTGGTTTTTCGAGACAGGGTTTCTCTATGTAGCTTTGGAGCCTATCCTGGCACTTGCTCTGTAGACCAGGCTAGCCTTGAAGTCACAGAGATCCCCCTGCCTCTGCCTCCCAAGTGCTGGGATTAAAGGCGTGAGCCACCAACCCCGGCAAGACTTATTTTAATTATTTGTAGGTGTGCGTTTGCTTGTGAGTATGCACACCTGAGTGCAAGTGTTGTCCCTTTCCCCTCAGCCGGAGGCACCTGACACCCTGATTTGGCATTATACATATTAGGAAAAGCGCTGGTCCACAGAGAGTGCTCTCGACCACTGAGCCATCCATCACTCCAGCCCACCTTTTTGGTTTTTTTGTGACAGGGTCTCACGTAGCTTAGCACAGGCTGAATTCTTACCCACTGAGATGGTTACCACTGATGGTCTCCAGGCATGGTGGCACATAACTATCTTTAGTGTCCTCGGCACTCTGCAAAGCAGAGACAGGTGGATCTGTGTGAGTTTGAGTATAGCCTGGTCTACATTTCAAATTCCAGGCCAGACCTGGCTACACGGTGAGACTGTCTTTAAAAAAACAAAGAAAATGTGAACATGACAGATTCTAGTGTTACCTGTGTGCCTGCCAGATAGGGGTCGTCCTAGTCAGGCCAGCCTCTGGCATATCTGTGAGTGATTATCTCGATTAGGTTAATTAATGAGCAAACCACCTTAATTATGGGCAGCATTATCCATGGCCTAGGATCCTAGGCTGAATCCAGAAGAAAATTAGAGGCTAGGGAGATGGATCACAGGATGAGAGGGAATTCTGTGAACACAAGAGGAGCCCAGTTTGATTTCCCAGCAACCACATGGAAGTTGGGCCTGAGTCACTCTTCCCTCGGCTGGAACAACTGCACAGACCCTTGTAAGATGTGTGTGTGTGAGCCGGGCTTTGGTGGCGCACGCCTTTAATCCCAGCACTCGGGAGGCAGAGGCAGGCGGATCTCTGTGAGTTCGAGGCCAGCCTGGTCTACAAAGTGAGTTCCAGGACTCCAAAGCTACAGAGAAACCCTGTCTCAAAAAACCAAAAAAAAAAAAAAAAAAAAAAAACCAGAAAGGCTTCCCAGCTCTTTGGCAAGGTTGTGTTCCTGTGTGTTTATATTAGACAGATGTTGTTGAAATAAACATTTGGTTGGGCCGGGCTTTGGTGGCGCACGCCTTTAATCCCAGCACTGGAGAGGCAGAGGCTGGCGGATCTCTGTGCGAGGCCTTCCTGGTCTACAAAGCGAGTTCCAGGAAAGCCTCCAAAACAATACAGAGAAACCCTGCCTCGAAAAACCAAAACCAAACCAAAACAAAACAAAACAAAAAACCATTTGGTTGGGCCTGGCTAACATGGAGGTGGAGACAGGCAAATCCTTGGAGCCTAGCCAAAAGGGGAGCTTCATGTTTAGTGGGAGACCCTGTCTCAAAGAATAAACTGTGGGATGGACTCCTCAGGGGTCACTAGCATGTCTGTCCTCATGTCTGTCCCCTCCTCGGGGAAGCTGTAGCCCTGCTGCTGGGGTCCCCAAGGCTTCCACTAGGTGCCTGGCACTCGGACTGACCCTCTCAGCTCTAGGCAGAAGCTAAGCCAAGGACTGATGGACCCACACGTGCAGTGTTTGCTGCCTCTGCCTTTCCTAAGTCCTGTTGAGTCCCGACCCAGGCCGAGCCAGACCAGACCTCACAAGAGAGGTTGCTCTTGCTCCGGGAAACCCGAGGTCAGGCAAACCACACCACATGCCGCCAATGGTCCCCATGCATGAGGCACTAATGAGTTAAGGGCTTAGATGTTCAAATGTGCTCAGTGGTGTAGAAACCTTGCCGTGATACCCTCCCCTACACTGCAACCTTTAGAGGGTGCTGTGAACTTTCCTGGAGCCCAGAGAGTAAAGCCAGATTCCCTCAGAGGCTGGTTGCCTCTCAGAAATGGGTTGGTTGCTCGCCCATTGCCTCCGACTTCATTTTGTGGGCTTTGTTTCTTTGAGAAGGTGTCTTGCTGTGTGGTCCTGGCTGGCCTGGAGCTCACCTTGTAGACCAGGCTGGTATTTTGCTGTGACCCTCCTGCCTCTGCCTTCTGAGTACTGGAGTTACAGTGAGTTCAGCCACACCTGGCTTGTTGGTTTGTGGTTTGAGCAGGGTCTAGGTATGTCACCACACTGACCCAGAAATGGAAATTCTCCTGCCTGAGCCTCTAGACTATGGGGGGGGGAGGATCACAGGTGATCTCCTCCCAACAGTTCAGTTAGGAAAGAGATGAACAGAGAGTTCTTTTTGTATGTTTTTTCTTGGAATATGAAAATGTATTGCTGTGTTTCTACTGTCAAGATTTAGGATCTTGGTCTTGCCTTCTCGACTTTGTACGGAGCCAAAGGGTTACACATTGGCTACTTTAACAACCTTAAAGCAGAGTGACTCCAGGAATACCAGCTACAGCATGACCTTTTCCACCGAACCCAGCAACCAGAACTTCCGTCGTCGTTTTCCTCAATGAAGTTCAAACAGCCATCACTGGGCATTAACGCTGTGATCTTCTCAATGTTCTTGATGAGCTGTGACCTGACAAACTTCCGGAAAGCAGAATTTGTCTGTTTGGCTTCAACCCCTACTTTTTTCCAGCACAATTCCCTTTGCACGAGAGGCACCTCCGAAAGGATTGGCCTTCAGGACCCAAGTGTGCTTTCTTTTCTTTTTCTTTTTTTTTTTTTTTTTTTTTTTTTTGGTTTTTCGAGACAGAGTTTCTCTGTATTGTTTTGGAGGCTGTCCTGGAACTTGTTCTGTAGACCAGGCTGGCCTCGAACTCACAGAGATCCGCCTGCCTCTGCCTCCCGAGTGCTGGGATTAAAGGCGTGCGCCACCACCACCCAGCCCAAGTGGGCTTTCTTGTATTGTTCATCATGCCACTTCTGGTCGGGTCGGTGACTGCGGAGCTTCCTGGCAGTACAGAGAGCAGGACACTTGCCCATCTAGACGGCGCCACGGGCCCCGAGAGAAAGCCAACAGACTACGGGACCGAGTTTCTAGATTTAAGGGGCAAAACGATGAATGAGCCCTGGTCTTAGGGGCCGTCTCCTCTTGTAGAGTGTTGAGCAGATCCATAAGAAGCTCTAGACGCTTCCATAGCCCACTGTGTAGCAGCTTGGGGCTCCTTCCCGAGGGAAGGGGATGAATTCCACCTTGGACGCAAACAGGCTTGAGCGAGGTTGTTGAAGACGCTGCCAGCAGTGGGCTCTCTAGGCAACCGGAAGCTGGAAAGCGGGGCTCTGAAGATGTGGGAGAGGGAGTAGAGAGAGGTGCACGCACAGTCTGCATGAAGATGCCGGTCTCCGCAGGAGCCAAGCCTTGAAAAGGGACTCTTATTCGGGGAAGTGGGAAGACGGCACTGAAGGCTCGATCAATTATACCTGGAGAGGATAAGAGAGAAGGATTCTTTGAACATTTGTGTGCAGGAGAGAGGGTAGGAGCATCGAGGGGACGAGGGCCCAGTGAAGGACTTCGGCGTTTAGCCTGTCATGCCCTGCAGCATTTGTAGCTTGAGCCTGGAGCGGAGATGAAGAAGCCGTGGGAAAACTCCTTCTGGTCACAGCAGACAGTGGAGCCGAGGGATGGTCAGTCAGCTTCCAAGCAGAATGACAAAAGGAAGAGGGATCTGAGGCCACAGGCCACCAAGAAACCACGTCGGTCAGGGTCTCAGAGCGTCTGGTTTTGGCATTTAACTTCAGGCGGGTATGCCACAGGCCGCGGTGGGCTTTTTTGAGACACTTTATTGTGTATGTAGCCCCCAGAAGTCTGAAACTCTCTGGGTAGAGCAAGCTGGCCTCAGAGCTGTCACAGAGCACCCGACTCTTGGAATAAAAGGTGTGCACCACCACACCCAGCAAATTTCTGAGAAATTATTTTATATGTACAGTGTTTTGCCTGCATGTATGTC